CCCCACGCTCCCTGCACCCAAAACTGATGTGACCTCGCACGTCAGGGTCCAGAGCTCCCAGCCAGCGGCCTCAGTCCAGCCCAGGACCCACAGCTCAGATCAGTGCTCCCAGTCAAGCCCAGTACCTCCAGCTCAGCCCAGTACCTCCAGCATAGCCCAGTGCTCCCAGCCCAGCTTGGTGCCCCCAGTCATGCCTCGCATCCCTAGTCCAGCTCAGCACCCCCAATTCAGCTCAATACCTCCAGCCCAGCACCCCCAGTCCATCCCAGTGCCCCCAGCCCAGCACCCCCAGTCCTTCCCAGTACCCCAAGGCCACCGTCCTCAGGCTAACTTAGCACCCCCAGTCGATCCCAGCACCTCCAGTTCATCCCAGTGCCCCCAGCCCAGCACCCCCAAGCTAGCTTAGCACCCCCAGTCCATTCCATTGCCTGTAGGCCAGCACTCCCTGTCCATTCCAGTGCCTCCAGGCCAGCACTCCCAGTCCAACTCAGCACCCCCAGCTCCAGCATCCCCAGCCCATCCCAATGTCCCCAGCTCACCTCAGTGTCTTCAGCTCAGCCCGGTTCCCCCGTCCCAGCCCAGCACCCCCAAACCCAGCCCTCCCAGCATCCCCAGTCCTTCCCCACAGGCTCCCAGTATGAGCCCCCGCCTATGGCTTGGCGATGCCCTGGCCCCATCCCTCGGCACGCGGGACGTCCCGGGGGTCCCCTCCGCTGGGAAGCCAAGCACCCAGAAGAGAGCAAGCACCAGCCAGGAGCAGGGACACGTCTGGCAGACCAACTTGGGGCCCTCTCCCCTTAATTAGTGCCTAACGAAGACCCTCCTCTGGTTAAGGGCAAGCTTTTCCCTACCTAGGGTTTCGTGGCAGCTTGGGGAGGGGGCGCTCCCGCCGTGATCCGGAGGTCCCACGGCACTCGCACCCATCCAGCTGGCTCTGGTTTCGCTTTTGGGGTTTCTGGTGCCTGGGAAAGCCCCGCGGTGGCAGCAGGAGGGCGTCTGGCAACACGCTCTGGAAATAAACCTGAATTAGGGTGTAATTAGTTCAGGAATAATGCTAATTAGGCAGGATTAGCAGCGCAAACCCAGCCCCTGCCCCCCCAAGGTACGATCCGTGGTCTCACAGATTCTCTTTATAGGTCACAGCCCAATGAATACTCGGATAAATGAGGGGGTTTATTATTATTGAAGGCAATCCTGCTAAGTAATTGGGTATTTTGGGATAAAGGAGTAAATTTAAAGAGCAGCGTTGGAGGCTGGGGGGTCCCCGGACGCTCTGGTGTCCCCCAATTGCCATGAAGAGGCTTCCAAAGGAAAAGCGGAGCCGGGAGCCGGCTGTGAAGTGGTCGTGTGGGGGTGGGAAACCCCTCTGCGGGTTCTCCCGGGGGGCCCAGGGACCCCCGCAGAGAGCTGAGGGCAGGTTCCCACTTCTGCAAAAAAAAATTCCTAACGCCCTCCACTTTGATGTTTAATAGGAGAATTAAATTGAGGGGGAAAATGAAGGATGAAAATTGAACGAATAGGACAATTAAATAAATGAAATAGGAAGCATTTGCATATGCACAAACAACCCCAGGGCTGTTATTTTATTAATTGCAGTCGTTTGTAACAGGAATTCCCCGCAGCCCCGGCATGGGGTCACCCTCCTCGCTGCCACCCGGCCTTAGGTACCGGCTAACGAAGGCCCTCGCCTAATTAGTGACGGTTTGCCCCCCATCGAAGGGAATTTACGGTTTGTGACAAGCGGGTGAAGTGGGAGCTCGGGCCAGGGGGACACCAGGCTTTGGTGCATTGAGTTTGTCGGGTCTCAGTCGGGGCCAACGCCAGGCTCTGCCCGTCCCCAGGTCTTGGTGGGCAACGCAGGGGTCTTTCATGGAGGGCCACCAAAACCTACCGCGGGGCTCTGCTGGTTTTCCTGGCCATGGCTAAAACCCCACCAAGGGGGGCCAGGAAAGCCGGGAGTACCCCGCTGCCATGCCGGAGACCTCCTGTCCCCATCGCCCGGTCACAGGGGACCAGCGTCCCAGCCCCTTCTGCCAGGCTGGGGGGGGCAGACACAACCCATCCCGTCGGGGCTGAACACTGGCAAACTCATGTGCCCACAGCGGCTGAGCTGGAGGCAGCAAAAAAAGCCTGGAGAGAGGGAGGAAGAGCTCAAGGAAAGGACGAAACGAGCCCGTTTGCCTTCCCGGCTCCTCCCATGCATCCTTTGTCGGCTCCTAAGCACGGCGGGGGGATTTGCCACGGGTGCCGGAGCGAGAGCTGGGGTCCCAATAAAGCCCCAATCGGCACCAAAAAGGGCTGGGGGCAGGAGGCTGGTGCAGCCCTAGCGAGCCCTCGGCTCGTTGCCACCGCAGCGGGAGGGGAAGGGGGCGGAAAAGGGCTGCAGGTGCGACAGCAAAGACCCTAAATATCGGGGTGGGGAAGACAAGTCCCCAGGGCGTCCCCATCACTCACTGCCTGGGATCCAGGGAAAGGCACAGCGGGAGCGAGTCCAAGACCCCTTCCCGAGGCAGGCCAGGCGCAGCGGGCTGCGCGTTCGTCCCTCCAGGATCACGGAGACAGAGGAAAACCACCGGCGTCTCAGCAACCGGGCTTTAATAATTAACTCTACAAACCACCACGGGCCCGCAATTAGCGCAGACGCCGATTTACACCCCAGTATTTACAGGCGAGCGAGGAGTGGGGGATGCCGTGTGGCCCTCTGCCGTACCGTCCCAGCCTCCCCCAGATTAAAATATTGCTCTAAAACATTAAAACCGCCGCGTTAACGGTGCGCAGAGGCTGCTGACGAGCCTGGGCCGCCCTCATAACTGATTTATCAAGAGTTCGAAGTCTCCGAGTCCAAGCCGAGATTTTGCTCGAGCCCTTTACCCAGAGTCGAGGGGAGGTAGGGGGGGGCAGCTTTCACCATCCCGGTTTCGGGGTCCGAGTACCTCACCCTGCACTTCCCTGACCAAGTGGGTTTGCAGGCAGAAAGGCCCCATGTTCTTAAGCCCCACCGCCTCCTCCGTCACACCCAGGTGAATTAAACTCCCTTTTGCTAAAGCTCGGGGCAGCTGGGCTCAGTTTCAGGCTGCAGGCACCCACCCTTCCCCGGCGGCTCAGCCTTTCCCCTGCCTGCGTCACCCCTGAGCCCAGGGAAAGCCAGGAGATGCCGAAGGGAAAGCGCCAGCAAGGTCCTGGAGCCGGGTCTGGGCTCACAAGCCTTTTGCCAAAGCACAGAGGTACCTGGAAGCAGGCAAAGCCCGAGCTGTTTGCGCACGGAGCAGCCGGAGCTCAGCAAAAACACCAGCAGGTTTTAAAATCCCCCCCTCCCTATGGCGGCCCGAGGTTCATCCCACCTCGGGATACAAATAACCATCAGCTCCCAGTGTGGTTAAGCTCCAGTCTGTGGTTAAGCAAACTGCTCTTTAGAGCTGGGACAACCCCACTGCCTGGCATTAGCAGCGTTACCCAGTGTCACAGAAACCGAGGAAAACAGGAAAATTTAGTGAAGTGGCAGTGCCAGCTCAGAGGGAAAAGCAGGCGGGAACAAGCCATGCAGAGGATCATGGCATCGCGCTGTCCCCTCCTCGATTTATCCCATTACAGCAAAAAAAAAAAGCTACTAAAAAGGTCATCAGAGAAGCAAACTGCAACAGAGGTTCAGCGGGGTGAACCCGCGCTGCTCTGGGAAGGACTCGGACGCAGAGAAATCCACACGGGGAGGGCTGGGAGCGACCCCAAGGCTCAGCATGACTTCTTCCCTACTGGGATTGCGGGGAAGGTGCAGGCGAGCAAACATTCTCCTATGGGGAAATACCCTGCCCTGGTCTTACCTCAAACCCTCAGCCAGCTGGCAGGGCAGGATCTGCCAAAACTCCAGGGACTTACCCCAAGCTCGCCTCCAAACGCCCCGCTGGGTACGGCTCATCGGCAGCCCAAGTCCTTTCAACTCACCCTCTCTCTGCCTGCACTCAACATCTCTTAAAAGGAAAATAAAGTGTCAAAACAGGCGCTGGATGCGCCCGGCCAGCGCTAGAATCACCCCCACCCCACGGTTTAAACCCCCCCCTAGTCTGGGGGAAGCATCTGGTGACCCTGAGGGAAGTACCTGGTGATCCAGGCAGCCTTCTCCAACCCCAAATATTTCCCCATTGGCTGGCTCTGGGATAAGAAACCCCCCCTAAAGAGTTAAACCTTTTTAAAACCCTAAAACGGCCAAACAGGCCCTGCAGTCGATGGGGAAAAGAACCAAGTTGAGGTCCGTTGAGCATCACCCTCCTCACCCCAGAGGCAGGGA